TGTCTTTATCTCAACCCATGAGCTTTTCTAGCTTTTACCCTTCTGATTCTCTCCCCCATCCCATTGGTGGGGGAGTGTGTGAGCAGCTGCATGGGGCTTGACTGCTGCCTGAGGTTAAACCACGACAGCTGGTCCATTTTGATTCAACTCCACTGTACTCAATAGACGAAAACATGAGTTGCACAGGTTTTCCCAAGTCACCTGTTCCATAATCTTCCACTTTTTGCAAATGAGAGACTTCCAAACAAAACTGAAGCACATGAGCTCACGATACACAATATACCACAGTCACAAACATGCACCAATTTGAAAGATAAAGGACAGAAAACAATACCAACATTGTCACAATACCTTTCATACCAGCACACACAGAGTCTCCTGGGCTGCTTCCCCCCCAGCTAAGGGACAGCACTACCTGCACAACCTCCTGCTTCAGCAGCACAGCTGCTGTGACACACTCAGCTTTGTCCAGCCAAATGCTGATGCCAAATGGAGCAATGGTTTGCAGAGGGAACTCACTGTGGGTAAGGGTTATGCCAGAGCAGGAAAGTTCTGTAACCCAAAGGGAGGGTGGGGTAGGGATTAGCAGGCCACATGCCCACTAGTACCAACTCACACAAGCTCCAGGCCATGGTAAGTACTTCCAAGAGTAAGACTTTTTTAGGAGTTTTCCTATGGGGAAAGGGTGACAAGCAAAGAACAGGAAGGTCTGTGAGAGAGCTATCCCCTAAACTTAACCACTCCTTATAAAAAGGTCTAGTACCTTTATTAAAAAGGTACATGCTGCAAAGTATGATTTTATTTTTGGCACTGCAATTCAGAAAGATTTAAACAGCACCATCCATGACTGCTGAAGACTGGACCTGGTACACTTTGTCTTTATTCCCCCCGAAGAGACAAATGAGTTGTAGGCTTGTAATCTGACAAGAATTAGAATCAAACATCTGTAAAACAGCCAACATTAAAAATTCAAAAACTACTGACTTGCTTCTGTTTGTACCCTCAAGCTGATCAATACTACAGGGTCTCCAGCAAAGTCAGTTACTGGGACAGGACTGCCAAGCAAACAAGCAGAAACCCCAGTACCAAACAACCCTGAAACACAAAACAACTCCCTTCTCCACACAAAAACAGCCAAAACCAACACAGATTTGGAAATCTAACAACAAGTTAGTTCACTGATGACACAAACAAAGGTCCCCTTTGTGACTAGTCCCAGAAGGGGAGATAAAAGGACCTCACTATTTTATGATCTGGAAAGCACCACTGTGTAGCTTCAGGAACGCTGACAATGGAAGAGTGTTTTTCTGTTTGTTTGCTTTTATAATATCATACCAGACACCTTATTCAACCACTCTAAAAATCCATCTTTTAAGAAGTCTAACACTCTGTAGATTTACAGGACTTGTAAAGAAGTCAACCTGCAACCTCTTCCTGTCACAATTCTAGACCATAACTCCATCACAAAAGGACCTCACGACAGGTCTTTGGTTACAGCCCTGGAACCAATATGACAAAATGCACAGCATCCAACAGCATGAAGGGTCCATCTTCCCAAAAGACAAATTTCACACAAGATACAGATTCTAAATCCACCTTCTAAAATCAGTGGCTAAATGTTTGTATCATGCAATCCCTGAATAGGCTGCAATGCTGCCAAAAATGTCTGGCCAAGGAAAAGCATTTATGAGACTTACTTAATTTTTAATGTTTTTCATTAAAGCAGCAAAATCACCTGATAGACAAAAACTCTTACTGATTTAAAAACCAAATTACACTACAGCAAGACACCACAAACATCTAACACTAAGCAAATCACAGAGTCAAAAGCATTTAATCCCATAACTGCACAAAAAGAAACAAACTCCAAACTCTGAAATCACAACATAAGGAATCACTTGTAAAACTGACTCCAGTGACAGGGCAAAAATATGAATTCTATTTTGCTTCTGCGAATGGAATTCTTGTGGTTATTCTAAAATGGAAAATCTGCCACATTACCTCTGTAACAAAAATATTTAGCTGCATCCTCACAGTAGCAGCAGAGTTAAACCACATGTTCAATAAACAGGCCAAAGAAGAATCCACTAACTGCAACATATACAACACGTTGGATACAGAGGGGGGGAAAAAAAGAAAAAAAAAAGAGAGAAGTATTTCAATATACCTTGAACGCTGAAGACTTCGTGGGGAGGCAGGTTCATGACCTGCCTGCTTGTCAGCTATTACTGGCTGCTGAGGTGCTGCCTGGGAAGCTGGTCCTTGTTTAACACCTGAAGTAGCAACCTGGAAAGTTGAAAACTTCATTAGATTTCCTCCACATTAAAGAGCAAGTGTAAGAACCAGAGAAAACCATGGAAATTACAAGTTACACCAGTGGGGTTTTTTTGATACCAGGTCTTTTGTTGACAGAGTTTTTTGGCAGAAATTCAGAACAGTTTCTAACCACACAATACAGGCACAGCTAAACAGCAAAATGTGACACCTAGGATCCTGGAGGCTGTGACACTTGAGCTGCCACGTGCACAAAGCACACCTCCAGGCAGACACACCAGCCTGAGTGTAAAAGCAATACAGATGTGTTCAAGCAGTCCTAAGTAACAGGCCCTACCCTGCAAGTGGTGCTACCCTAGTCCCACAGCCAGCCCCAATGGGTCTGCATCTGGCACTGGGCTCTGCTTGCACAGTGCCAGTTCAGCTTTGTCTGCCCTAAGCCCACACAGCCTGTGCTCTGAGACCAAGTATGTCCTGGCACAGCACCACATCTTGACTATAAACCATTCACCTCAAACTCTTAGAACTGGATAAGCTAACCAGACTGTCATATCCAAAGTAGTACTAAGACAGATATGCTCACACTGGAGCTATCACCACCTACATTCTCATCTCAATCCCATTTTATGGAATTGAATTACATGAACACAAGAACTATCAAGACAGTT